CTTAAGACATCTTTGAGACATCTTAAGTCTCAAACTTTTTCCCCCCCCTTCCAACTTCCCTATTACTTCCAAGGGCACCACTACCCTCCCAGGCACCCAGGCTTATAATTTAGTTGTCATCCTTGACTCCTCTTTCTCACTCACCCTCCAGCCATATCCAATTTGTTCCAAAGGCTGGTCTATTTTATTTTCATAACATCTCTCCTATGTACCTTTCTCTCTAACTCTGGTGCAGGTCCTCATCACCCCTCATGCCTTGACTCCTGCAAGAACTGTGAGCTGGCCAACATGCCACAGATCTCTTCCAACTCCAGTCCAACTTCTATTCAATTGTCAAAGGGATCTTCCTAAAGCACAGGTCTGATGACATAACTCCCTTAATTAATAAACTCTAATGGATCCTGATCATATTTAAGACCAAACATAAAATTCTCTCTTTGGGATTCAGTGTTCTTCATAATCTAGCCCTCTATCCCCAAACTTTCCACGCCTCTAACACCTTATACCTACCCACCCTATGGCCTACGATCCAGTGACACTGGCCTCCACGTTGTTCTGTGCACAAGATCCTCCATCTCCTGACTGGGCATTTTCACTGGCCTGGAATTTTCTTCCTCCTCATCTCTGTGTCCTGGTTTCCTTCAGCTTACAGCGAAAATCCCACCTTCTACAAGTAGCCTTAATTCTACTGCATTCCCTCTGTGATTAGCTCCAATTTCTTCTGTAGATAACTTGTTTGTATATAGTTGTTTGCATGTTGTCTCCAATAAACTGAGAACTGTTTGAGAGTAGGGACTATCTTCTGTCTTTCTCGGCACTTAGCACAGTGCCTGGAACAAAGTAGGTGCTTAATATATGTTTACTGACAGAATGACACTGAGTTAACTGGCTATTCAATTAGTTATAATCAACATTTTGTTAATGAGCTGAGTTTACTAAAGCAGGGGCAGATAATCAAAATAGGTGGCTAACAATGAATTTGGGAGAGGGCCAAAGGTTAAACTACTGAAAAACCTACCATGCAAAAATGTCAGTGCCCCCCTTCTCCCCTCCTACCTGGTCTGAAACTTTAATCACTAGAATAACTCCTTTGGATTAGATGGAAATAGAGGAACACTGGAAGGGCCTCTAGCTTTCTTTTATAAGCAACAGCATGACAAATTACCCAAGTATCATCTTGGGGGACACAGAGTCTGGCCCTGAGATAAGATATAGGACAGATAAGTTTCACTGGCATGGAAAGTATAGCAGAGACTAGTCTCAGATGTGGTTGCCCACTGGTAGTTTTGAGGACAGAAGGCAGGTTGCAGGTATATGGGAGGTACAGGTCGGGGGAATACTTACTGTCACTTTTTGTTTGTAGGGTAAGCTGTTCCTTAAAACATGGTGCTAACAAGAACACTGAAATAATGCCAGTCTACTTTTTAACCATTAATTGTACCTCTCACTCAGGCTTATCATCTAACAAATTGGCCCATAATATCAACAGGGAATGAGTGAGACTAGATTAATGGATCAGTACAAATATATCCTCACTGCACTTGAAAGTTTTATTGATGGTAGGACCAACAGACTAACTTCAATTCTAAAGAGGCAGTGGGAAGAGAAGATTTTGGTATTTTTTGAGTTTATGTAAATGATTCACATAGACTTTACTACTACTAATTTAATATAATATGTTCCAATGAGTAACTGACATAGCAAATGGAAATTTATTACCAAAGGGAGGACTCTGGACTCCAGGGTAGGGAGGGTAAAGGTGGGAAAATATCTTCCATAGTTAAGTGAACACCAAAAATACACCTGCTGATTAAAATGTATGAAAAAACCCTAACAGTTCTAATCTACTTTCTCAGATTAAAACAACTAATTGTTTTAAATTTTTAAAATTTGTGCTTATGATTGTCACTATGTAGTAGTGTATTCATAAATAAACAATTATGTAATGGTCTGATTTTGATGGCCTATACTAGATAGGCAGGCTAAGAAATCACAGCTAATCCCGTGCTGAAATTGTTATTCAGCCTATCAATTTCTATGCATGTGGTATTAAAACTTAATATTTAATTTATGACTTTTTAATTAAAAGGCATATTCTAGGGCCCAATGACAGTCTTAAAGCCTGTGTGTAGCCAACTATCTAGACAGGCATAACTTCTTTTCACCTTCTAGAAGCTGCACATGACCCACATTACTCTACTTTGAACAAAGAGGGACCACACATTTTTAATATTATCTGGGTTTATACAAGATGCCTAAAATTCCCTGGAACTTCATGCAGCACACTTTCTCAATAAGCCTGTCAGAGGAGGGATTGCCAGTAGCTTCTCAATTGTATAGTCATGTAATTGGAAGCAGTTCACTGTTTTTTCTTTGTTCCATCTTGGAAATGTCTTTATCAACTATTGAGGTCAATGAGGATTAGAAAATTCTGAATAAATTGCAAATGATAGATTTGGAATGCTTTGAATATGTATTAGCTGGTTACAGATGCCTAGAAATAAGCTTAGGCCAAGTGACTCCTTTGGAAAGCTATTCTGATATTTTTGAATAGGGTTACAAGTTCTTAAAATGTTTTACCTGTTGTACAATCCGCTGTTCTAGTACATCTGACATCACCTGTATGTGAATCGTACCAGCAACAACACTGGCAGAATGACGCCAAAAATGAGGGTCTCTGTAGGATATTAAACCTTCAATTTTCTGAATCTGCCAAATTGGAAAAAGGTAGCAATAAATATTTTTCATCTGTCAGAAATGAAAATAAATACAGTAGCACATAGCACACACTGATTTAGTTATTAATTTGTCTGTCACCTAGTAATCCCTGGTCCAGGAAAAGTTATTTCATTGAACACCTTTGAATATTTCTAGAGAGGCTGGGAGTTCTTTACTCAGAGGAGGAAAGAACAAAGGGGATAACTAGCAAGAGAGAAAGGTAGTCCAAATGTAAAAACCACAACTTTATCCTTACATATAAATAGCATCAGAACACTGAAAATAGTTAATTGGAAAATGGGTCATAGTGGCTGTCATATCCAGGTTTCTGAATCACTGTTGGTACACAAACAATAGCATTTATCCCATGAAGTGTGACACACAATATTGGTCACCAGATAGAGCCTATACCAAGATAAACTCCAACATACTCCTAAAACACTGAGATATGCTAATATATTTCCACCTAATCAATGCTTCCATACCCTTCTTCAGATTCACACGTATAATGATATATGGACATGCAAACACTCCCCTTTTACCATTCTATACAAAAAAAAAACCTCCCATCATTTAGAAATATTCATCATTCACCTACAATTTTTGTACTTCTAGTATAAATATACACAGGCAAAAAACTAAGTGGATAGTTTCAGAGAAACCTGGGAAGACTTACATGGATTGAGGCACGGTAAAGTGAGTTGAATCAGGAGAATACAAAAACAACAGTCTAAATAAAAAACACTAAAAGGCTAAAGAACTCCAATTAATGAAATAAACAATGATTCCAGAAAACAAACGATAATGTATGTTCCCTATATCCTGACAGAGAGATGATGGACTAAAGAAGCAGAATGACTGGATATAGTCAATGTGGGGATTTGTTTTGCTTGACTATGCATATTTTTTTATGAGGGCTGAGGTTCCCCTCCCCCCCATTAGAGAAAAGGCAGGGAGAGAAAATAAATGCTTAAATGAAAAAAAAAATTAAATTAAAAAAAATATATATCCAAAGAAGCAGTTTTTAATCATATAGATCAAATCTTTCAGTCAAATTTTTGCAAACCACAATGTTTTTAAAATTCCAGTGAAGAGAGGATTTATACAGTTTTAACTGCTCCTCGTTAATATACAAAGAAAAATTTGAGTGATCACACATAATATGTAGAAGTTCAAAGCCCACCTTTTCTAATGCAACGTTTATTTCTTTTTCATTCTCTGGTGGCAGCCTTAGAAGTAGCACTTGGCAGGCATCTTTAATCAGTGGAATAACACTGAGAAAAATTAATACAGCAATAAAAAGAGAGCAGAGAGGATCAGCAAAGAACCATCCAAATTGTTCTATAAGAATTGTGGATACAATTACACCAATACTGCCAAGTGTGTCTGCCAAAATGTGTAAAAACACACCTGTGAATAAAACATAAACAATTTTAAACACACACAAACACGTGTGTATGTGTGTGTATATATATGCATGTATATATATACATATACATAAAAAAACATTTATCCAAATCACTTATAGGGCATAATTAGAATTCAAAAACTTCAAGAATATTCATACATATATTAAAATTACGCTTAAAAGTTTACACATTTGTGTAGTGTAGTGAAATTATAAAACAGCATATATAAAACACAGTCTTTTATTCTTGCTTCTATGAAGATGGCTGTATATTTATAATATAAATTATTTAAAAATCAGAAGTCATACAATTTATTTTTCCTAGTTATCTCCTGATACCTATGTACTTTTATACTTCTTTCTTCTCCCCAATCATGTTACATTTTCATGTAAAACCCAAATAATCATATCATTTTTCTCTTTAGGATTCCCTAATTTCATTGCTATGAGGAAAAAAAACACTTAAATTTACTATTAATTCTAAGATGTGATCATGAGCTTAATTGCACATATTTAACTCAACAGATAAATAGCTTATCAGAAACAGAGTTTTCCTACACTAAAATGGTCACTGAACACTCTGATATTTGAATTAAAATGCTAGAATATATAGGTTGGGGGTGGGGGAGTTGGGAGCGGTGGCACTTATTATTCCCAGGATAAAAGGGGCCTGTGGAAATTCTGAAGCAAAACGGAGGCAATTAAGCCGATTAAGATACTTTAAAAGCACCATACAAGTAATTTTAGCACATAATTTCATCACATACACAGACACACACCCCTTCACTTATATAGGGAACTCCCAGGGCAGAAACTCTACATATGCAGAAAAGGAAATCATTTATAATTTCAGTCTTAAAGAGAGGCACATGGAGAGGTTAAATGACTTGTCTATGATCACATAGCTATTATGTGTCAGAAGTAGGAATTAAATCTGGGCATTTCTGATTCCAAGGCTAGCCCTCTATCCATTTGTTATTTGTTATTTTAAAGGGATAATTGTCATGGAATTCTGCCTAACCATATTATACTAAAAGTTGCAGGGAATAGCTTGAGAAATTCTGCTCCAAGTTAGATTGATTTTAATGTTTATTCTCCTTGACCTCTCTGCAATGTCTGACACTAGCCAACCAATTTGAAATTCTTCTCCTCTGGCATTCCTAACTTAAGACTTAGTATGATTCTTTTCTGTCATTTTCTTCTCTTATTCCATCCCCTGTGTCTCAATCCTTGGTACTTAGCTTTTTTTTTTTTATTAGCTCTCTAGAGGCAGCTGGGTGGCTCAGTGGGCCTGAGGACTAGGCTTGGAGATTAGAAGACCTAAGTTCCTATCTGACCCCTGATATTTACTAGCTGTGTATTCCTAGACAAGCCACTTAACTGTTGCTACCACAGTTTCCCTATCTATGAAACAGGGATAATAACAGCACCTTTTTCCCAAGGTTGTTCAAAGTGCTGAGCAAAGTGCTTGGCACATAGTAGGTGCTAAATAATTTCCCCCCCCCTTCCTTTCCTCCTTCCTCTGAAAAACACATCCATTTGCATTACTCAGACACTGAAATCTTGATATAATGTACCCTGATTAACAAAGAACTCAACATAGCTAATGTCTTCACTGGACTTCCAATCCAATGGCATTTCTTTAAAAAAAAAAAACAAAAAACCTTTCAGAAAGCACAATGATCTCTTTCCTCCCGTGAGAGGGATGGCATTCCTTTTTTTTTTTTTGGCTAGGCAATGGGGTTAAGTGATTTGCCCAGGGTCACACGGCTAATAAGTGTTATGTGTCTGAGGCCGGATTTGAACTCAGGTCCTCCTGAATCCAGGGCTGGTGCTCTATGCACTGAGCCACCTAGCTGCCCTGAGGGACGGCATTCTTACACAGTCTTGCATGGCATAACTTTTCAACTTTCTCTTATGAAAGAGCTTCAAGACTTTGCATGCCATTACCAGAACTTTTCAATGTAAAGAGTTACAGAATCCCCACTATGTGTTCTTTGTCTGGAGGTTCTCTTTCCTGGTAGAATGTGTTATTTTTCTGAATAGGTAGTTTTGGTGGGTATATTCCAGGATATCCTTTATTTCTACAATTAATTCACTTAATTACTAAACATCATATTTACAGACTACCTAGCCAGCACTTACCTCTCATGTTAGCATTCATGCCTCCTCCTGAAGATCCATGGGAGTGTCCGTGGCTGTGACTGTGCCCATGATCACTGTGAGAATGATTGTGTCCATGACTGTGTCCATGGTGTGAATGGCTGTGATCGTGTGAGTGACAGCCTCCTTGAGAAGCTCCATGGACATGGCCATGAGCATGGCTAAAGGCACAGACACCAATAAGGTTTACTATCAGCCCTCCAACTGAGACAGGCTATTAAAAGGGAGAAAAGAAAATCTAACTTCACTATTTTTCCTATCATGCAAGGTTAAACTTCTTACTACAAAATTACCATGTGCACAATTTTTTTTTGTTAAGAGTATAAAAATATTTACAGTACAAATCTCACTAAAATTATTCACCTTGGAGAGGGTTAACCTGAATTAGCAAGAAGTCTAAATTTTAGAAAATTTTTAATGAAATGATGTTCTATTACTTCCAAGTACATAAAGTAACAAAGTAATGATCTTGAAAATATCATAGAAGAGAGTTTCTGCTGAATCTGCTTTAATGAACAGATAAAAAAATAATTCACATTTGGCTTATACTTTAAAGAAGCCACTGATAAGAACAAAGTCCCTATATATGCCAAAATATTTACGGCAGCACTTTCCACAGGTACTACACAATATATATATGTTTTCAGACATTTTCAAATGTATTGGTCAGTTGTGTTGTTTTTTTCCCCTTTTCTTATTAGATTTATACCAGAAAATATGAATAAACAATTTTTTTCTCTTAACATACATTCTAAATCTGTCATCTGAAAAATTAGGTTCAGCTTACACAGGACAAAATAAGATATGCCGCATCATTATCTTTTTTACTAGTTAAGGATAATTATGAATAATAGAAGGTACAGCCTATTTTCCTAAAATATATTGCCATTACTTCCATTGCAAGTTCTGGACCACTCATGAAAAGTTACTTTTTTTTTTTAAGCAGCAGTATATAATCTGACATGTTAACTAGTTCTAAGAAAACATGATATTACAGGTAACAGATAATTCCATAAATGGGCAAATGGATGAATATCACGGTAGGATTTTGTAACATTAGGTGTGATTTGGTTAAAATATATTAATGAAATTAGGGCAATATTATGTAGGGCACACTTATGATGACAAAAAGGTAATATACTGTTAGAAAAATAACTTTTCAATTTTAATTATGAGATGATATTATATAATTACATAGTAAAATCATAACTAGCAGTAGACACTTTCAGCTCAATAATCTAGAAGTATGCTGAAAGACATAATCAAACCCTTTATTCTGATGATCTCATTATTGGAATAAATAGAAGAAGTAAAAATGATAGCAAAAACAATCATTTTCGGAAAGAAACTAACCAGAACATTCCCTTTCCTCATGCTCAATTTATCCAAGAGGCAAATCATAAAAGAAACCCAAAATATACACATTAAGATCCTGTGTCTATGGTACATTATATCATAAGATACTTTATAACTGACATTCAGAATGATTACTATGAAACACCCAATCCGAAAAAGATTGAATTATATTATGCTTACTACAGGAGAAAAAGTACAGTAGTTTAAAAAAATGACACAGAAGACTGGAAGACTATCAGAAACCTTATGCCTATATATCATGAATGTTTTTTAAAAGAAGAGAGTGCTGCATACATTGAATATCAAACACTACCGCAAAGCCTGACTATATCATAATTGACTATATCGTAATAGAAAGTACATGATTCATTACTGACACGAGAATCATTTCAGAATCAGCTCTATTCAATCAATCATTGATAGTCAATTCAGTCACTGACTCACACATAAGTCAAAATCAATATCAAATTAGAAGACATCCTACAGAAAGCACGGAGTGAGATCCAACTAAGCCAGATCAATTCAACAGCATGGCACCTACAGATGGAACTGGAAGGATGACAAAAAGATACAAACTGAAATGGATATGCTTATGTTTCCATAGTGATAAAAACGAAGAGACAGTATTAAAGAAGGTATCAACACCAAAAAAAACCCTTAAAAAAAAACAAACAAACTAGACCTGTAATTTCTTAGATTTGGGGTCTTTGATTAGAAAACTCCCTCTACTAAAGCATCATCAACAACTGTTCTACAGCTTAGACTCTTAGAGGTACCTAAGGCAATAAGTGATTAAGTAACTGGATCAGGGCCTCTGTTTATAAGAGAACCTTAAGAGATGAAAAATAGTTGTTACAGTAAGAAGGCCAAAGGAACCCAGAAACTACCTCAGGCAGCAAAACCCGATCTCCTTGTCAAGATTGGTAGCCAAGGGTAATGGCAGTTTAAAATAGGAGCTCATTTGCAAAAGGCTCGAAGAAGATCACAATTAGTATTACCTTACAAAATGATGAAAAGCATTAGAGATGAAGACAAATCTGCAGAAAAGGTTGGCATGAGATTCAACTTAGCTAGATCTTTCCAAAAGCATCTGCGGATAAAACCTGGAGGAAGCTAAGTAGATACAAAATGTTTCTATAGCTGGAAAAGCATCAGTGATAATACAAGCATCAATGAGAGTGGAACCCACCATACTTGCACTCTAACACCTGGAGGAGATGAAACTGGGAAGAGCAGCTGAACCTGAGCAAGTATGTGAAGAAATCTGTCTAGAAATGATATAATTTAAAGCAATGAGAGAGTGATTTTTAAGAGAGCTCAAAGACAGAAAAATATTCCCCACAAAAAAAAAATCTATGTAATATTATTCCCCATATCACCAACAAAAAGGGCTCCAGAGAAGCCACTGTGTTATTAACCCATATATTCCTACTGTGTGAGAATAGTCTATTAAAAGTATCCTTGATGAAAATCTAAAAAAGGAAGAGAGGCAGGTCTTGTGCCACATCTTTAAAGTCCCATAAAGGGATTGACAGATACAGAGAATACAACAGACTACACTGTTTATTGTTTGTTGATTACCACATGACCAAGGGGTAAAATGCAGCCTTATATACTCTCTTCCAATAAAGTGTCTCCTACACATGTTAAAGTCATACAAAACTCCTTGATAGACTCATAAAGATGACTCTCTACGATTATCTTTTGATTACATCAAATGAGGCATAAAATAATTGTATGTTTTGCCAAGGTTATGCAAAACCAAAATGGAAAAATGACAAGATTCCTTCACTGCTCATGACATAGTGGTAACTGCATCAATACCAAGAATAAAATGGTGCCATCTCACAGTGAAAGTGAGTTTTTTAGAAGAGATATGCTAATAATCAACAAGAAAAAAAATGAAGTGAAGAATGTGTTCTTGCTAGATTATGACATTCAATTCAAATGACAATCAGTATGTTCATCGTGGATAGGTCCTCCAGATTAACAACAAGCTGGAACCAGAATTAAACTGAAGGAAGAGATTGGGTGGATGCATTTGGGAAACTACGCAGCACTTTCAAGGACTAAAAACTCCTTTAGGAAACAAAACTCCATCTTTTTAACACAGATGTTCTTCTAGTGGTGCTATATGGCTGCAAACCATGAAATCTCACAGTATCTGAAAAATCAAGAGTGATTATTTCTCACTATGTCACTCAAACTCTTTAGCTCTCATCCCTTGAATGATTTAGCAAGAAACAGTCTCAAAACTGCACTGGTGTGCATAAAATGTTATAAAAATCCATAGGAAAGCTGTTAGGTCTTTCTTTAGTTAGATTCTCTTTGGAGAGCTACAGGGGAAGGGCACAAAAATAATCTGCCTGGGACTAGTGAATACTCAAATTAAATCATGGATCAACTGAAGTATTAAACTGAAAATATGTTTAAACTGCAGATTTGGTAAGTCAGAAGAATAAAGTACTACCTACAGATTCATTGTGTTACCTCAAATATATTAGCAGAGATTACTTTAAAAAGTTATGAATATATACTAATATAGAAAATTACACCAATAAAAATACATTATTCTCACATCAATGACTGTAAAGTTTTGGTTTTAGCATGGAAAAATATTTTAATCATTATGCAAATAGGAAATTCAGAAGTAAATTAAAAACACTTACCGCTAACATGTATGTATCTAATTCTGGAGGATCTATCAATCTAGCCACTGATTCCACAAACAAAAAGAAAGCTATTACCATCAGAAAAAGTCCATTAATAAAACCAGAGAGAATTTCTATTCTGCCATACCTGAAAGAGAATAGTGCATTTTTTTTAAAAAAGGAAAGGACTAAAAAATAAGATAGACAAATTTTAACAGTGCAAATAACTGACAACACATTTTAATGTACTTTTCTTTTAAGGTTTTATTTAACAAGAATATTCTTATATTGACAAATGTAGAAACTTAAATTGAGACTGCCGGGGTAGTTTATAATTAATGAGAATGGGAAGAGAAACAAGGTTTTAAAATACCTTATCCACTTTCTCAATGAAACAGCATCCCTTATATGCAACATTTTCAAATACTGAAAACTTTCCTTAATATCAAAAATAGTATCATCTTGTATAACACTGATTTGCACATGATATTTTAATGTGTTGTACTGTACTGATTCGTACTGTGTACTAGTTTCTGTTGTACGGTGCAGGCTAAGACTTTCAGGTTCATAGTATAAGAGACAGGAAACAATTTTAAGAGGTCATTTAGTCTTGCTCTCTGCCTATACAGAAGTGAATGTTCCAACTGGTTATGGATTCTATTTTCAATACTCTCCATAGATGATTCCAGAATAACTTCTGATAGTCTAATCTAGTGGTTATTTGCTTAGGAAATCAACATTGTCCTCCTGTCTACCCAAACTCTCAAGTCCATTTTCTCTTGTTTAATCCCCTAAGAAGGTACTGAGTCAGCATCCTTACTAAAATATCTCTTTAAAAATCTGCTCTAAATACTGGAAAATAGTCCCAAAGAAATTTTTCATGGTCTCCTTTTCTAGGTTAAATCATGTGAATTCTTTTCATCTTTTTTCACTCAGTCAGTCTGCCATCTTTTTATTAGTTCTTATTGCTTCTCTCTGAAAACTTCTCTAGTTTAATCTTTTAAAAAAAAATGTGAAGTCAAAATTAGTTAAAAAACAATAAGTAAAACAGAATAATTAGCACGATTAGCATTCAAGCATAAAAACACATTAATCATAAATAGGGTATCACTGTTGTAAGTCATACCTAGTTAGTTTTAACCCTGGACCCTGGGGATCCAAGGGAGAGAAAGGGGCAAATGAGGTTAAGAGCTGACAGTACCAGGTGAAAAATTGAATTCTAAAGTCACCAACTCTTAGGTGGGTACAAAGACTATGTTATTAGCAGTGGCAAGTTTGAAACTCAGCATCTCCTGACTAATGAGGACTTGCTTTTTCATTCCCTATT